ACACATCCAGCCTCAGTTTCTCTCTTTGTGGTTCATACTTTTGAACACACCAAGTAAATAAGAAAAATAACCCCTTGATTGTGTAGGAGGGAGAGTTTGAGAAATGGCCTTGGAGACGTGCCTTAGTGGAATGCTGCCGTGGGCGGGGCGGGGTAGGACATAGAGCAGGGGAGGCTTGTGGAGTGGCAGAGTGGAGGGAGGCAGTTGAAGAAGAGGCTCTTTGACATCAAACATACTTTTTGTCCGCTTAGACTATTGGCCCAGCTCCAGCCTTCTGCCCAGGAACAGGAGAGGAAATGCTTCATGTCTCCTCCAACCAACATCACAAGGCTGCCTCCTCCTGAGACCTACCATGAGGCTTTCTGAGCTCTTCATGGCCTGGCTCAGCTCCATTAAATTAAAGGGGCTTCTAGGGAGGAAGCGGAAAAGAAAACCATCTCTTCTGTATTTTCTGTGCAGACATGTGCTTTTAAGGACAGATCATTCGTGTGTGTGTGTGTGTGTGTGTGTGTGTGTGTGTGTGTGTGTGTGTGTGAGAGAGAGAGAGAGAGAGAGAGAGAGAGAGAGAGAGAGAGGAGAGATTGTTGTTTACTTTGAGTTCTCATTATTAGAAAAGGTTGACAGTCATTAGTGAGATAAGGAAGAATCAATTTTTTTTTAAGATTTACTTATTTTTACTTTTGTGTACATGTGATTGTATATAGTGAACCTTGGCAGTGAGATGCTGTCAGACTCTGTGAGGTGAGGGGTTAGGGTTAGGGTTAGGAGAGATCAGAGGACCCAAGTTCCATTTCCAGCACCCGCGTAGTGGCTCACAGCTCTCTGTGACTCCATTCCCAGGGCATCTGACACCCTCTTCTGCCTAAAGGCCGCTCATCATATTATTAATGTGATGCACAGACATACATGCAGACAAAATACCCATTCATATAAAGTGAAAATAAACATCTCCCCCCAAAACTAACACCCTGACGTTAATCAACTAGAAGGAGATGGGTGCTTTTTTTTTAATTCCAGGATTATTAAAAGTCAGAATTTTCACAAGCTTAGTAGATGGAGAAGGAATGTCTGAAGATCTCTGGGAAGGGCATTCCAGCTAAGAAGGACTGGAAATCTGAGCCTACTTGGACATTCCTTTTCTTCTTTTCATCAATGGCTGCTACCCAGCAAGCCCCACCTCCTCTGCTGTTACCTTGAATTAGAGGCTAAAAATCCCATCCCCGATCTGTTTTGACTGAAGCCTGAAACTGTTTACAGAGGCGCAGTCGGCCTGTGTTCCTGACTTGCATTTTAATAAACCACCTGACAAGACAACAGGATGAAAGTCAAGACTGCTGGTGTGGGGAGGAAGACAGCCTTGCTTCTGCTCTTCCGCGAGCCGCCACACCATACCCACCGATGCCAGGACTCTGGCTTGTAGTGGTGGTTGCCCCCCAGTGTGGGCTCCGGTAAAAGGAGGCTAAGGTCGTAAATTTATTCCCCTGTGCCTCTGACGAAAGGAAATCTAGATTTCAGTAGTGATTCTCTCACTGCCGCTATAACCCAAAATGCTGGGTTCCCCCCCCTGAGGCCTGAAGACTTTCCCTGCAGGCCGCATCTCTATGGAAAGGCATGACCTCTTCATTGATGGGCTGTCTGTCTCCAGACGGACATCTTCCTTTCAGGCACCAGCCTTCAGAAATCTGTATTTCTTTTATTTTTTGTATTTTCTTTTATTAAGTATTGTTTTTAAGAAATCGTTGCTGCTGGGAGGGTCTTACTGACTGAGGCCAGGGTGGGTTTTGCATCCTGGGTTGTATAAGTGGTGATGACTGGCCAAGCTTGTAGCCTTGGGTGGTGGTTTTCTCATTCTTCATACTTGGTCACATTGTATTGTCCTGACCTTACCCTGGCTGCTAATGACACCATCAAACCTCTCTGCTGTCTAAATTGGTCAGAGTTCTGTCTTCATGAAAAAAAAAAAAAAAAAGCCCATGTTTGAAGTAATGCTATTTTGAAAGTCACGATACCAGGAGCTTTTCCATTCATTGGAGAAAAATATTCATAGTTTGTCCATTACTTTCAATTCAGTTGTGATCCCTGGAGGGCTGAGAAATAGAGAGTGAATGTTTACTTCTCCACGCTGCTCAGCGTGTGATTACACTGTTGTGTGGTAGGTCAGATGGGAGAGGGAAGTGGGTCAGGGAAGAGGGGGTGGCCCTTTCTTGGGGACACCTGTGCTTTGTGGTGTGCAGAGGACTGCCCGCTCGCTCTTCCAGAAGTCTCTGTTCATGTCCTATAATGAGGTGTGATTACATGAGGTTTGGAGTCCTTGGGTAGAACGTTATAGAATCTACCAGATGTGATGTTACATTTAATAATCGAAGGCTCAACTAAGTGTGCATTTGCTCAGTTAAACCATAGCAATTGTGTCATTGTGCCGGGATTTAGGACCATTGATGCCTCAAACTCAGGTTGGGATGCCCATTTTTAAATTTTTATGATTTTACCCATATTTTGTTCTCTTTCTAATGATGCCGGGGGCATAATTATACCTGTTCTTTTTTAATTAGCAATGGTTTTTGCTATTTATGAGTAAACAATCCTTAATTAAATGTGTTGGTATTATTAACTTCCTTTTTTCATCTGAATACCAAATCAGAGTATGAGATTCTCTTGTTTACTTTTTTATTTTGAGATAGCATTTGCTGTGCTGCCCAGACGGGCCTCAAACTCACAATGTAGCTTAGGCTGTCCCAAATACCAAGACCTTCCCATCTCGGTCTCCTGTGTGCTGGGATTACACACAGATCATCATTATAGGCAGTGAAATACTTTTACTTTGTATTTGTAGATTGAAATCCATCTATTAACTTGATAATTTTAGACTTGGGATTCCTGAAGGGCTTGTTACTGAAATTGTATCTAAATCTCTCAGATTTCTTTGGAAAGAAGTAGAAATGTGGCTGGGGAGACGGCTCAGTTGGTAAAGTGCTTGCCACATAAGCATTAGGACCCAAGTTCAAATCCTCAGCACTGGTGTAAAAAGCCAGGTGGGAGAGTGCACCCCTGTAATCTCAGTGCTGGGGAAGCAGAGATAGGGGTATCCTTGGGACTTGGCTGGTCAGGCAGTCTAACTGAATTATCAAGCCCAGTTTCTGCAAGAAATGAGTGATACGGGAAGACACTAGACATTGGCCTCTGGCTTCCACATGTATGCACAAGAACCCAACACACACACACACACACACACACACACACACACACACACACACACACCACTCATCCACAAGCGTACAATAGAAATGTAAATGGATTTTTCTTTGGGCTGCCAGCTCACAAAAAAACAACATGGAGATTTACTAATTATGAAAGCTCATCCTTAGCTTAGGCTTGTTTCTAAGTAGCTCTTATAACTTAAATTAGCCCATATTTTTTAAATCTACATTCCTCCACATGCTTGTTTGTTAGCTCATCTCCATTTTGCCCATCCTGGTTATTCTGGGTCTGGCTGGAGACTCTGCCTTTCTTCTTCCCAGAGCTCTCCCTGTCCAGAAGTCCTGCCTGTACCTCCTGCCTGGCTATTGGCCAGTTAGCTTTTTATTAAACCAACCACAGTGACAGATCTTCACACAGTGTAAAGGAATATTCCACAACATAGAAATAAAGAAAAATTAATAGAATCAATATCTACCTTGAGTTGCCAATTGGAAAAACACACACACACACACACACACACACACACACACACAAATGGCCTAGTCATAAACATTGGGTCTTTTATACACATTTGCATAATACATTAGCTTCATAAGGAGGAGAGAAACATTTGACCAGCACAACTTCTTGAGTGTTACTGTAGCTAGTTTTTAGAAATATTGTATTAAGAGGTAGGCTACATTCTAACTACATTAGAAAGTTGTAAATACCAAAACACTTTATACAAAAGACATTTTAAGGAATATACTCATTGTACTCAATCATAGGCCATAAGAAAACATGTTACAGCTTCTTAGCTTGAAACACAAACTTTCTTAGTGATAGACAGCTATCTTTCTTAGAGGTGAGTCCATAACATTTTCAAAGCAGTTTGCTGATGAAATTTTCTAATTCCATCATTTCTGTGATCTTTCTACCTCCACAGGTTAGACCAAAGATGAGTCAAAATCACACCTGTTTTTTAACTAGTATACCCAAGTCATTTCCTGTTGACAGGAATCTGGTGAAAACGTCATTCTTGCCATCGCCAAACCTCCGTCCTAGAGGAGAACTTTGGCTGCCCTCTTTCCAAGTTTGTTCCATGAGGGATATTGATACTGAGATCCGTCTTCTCTTCTCTGGCTGTTGACAAGTCTAGGTTCCTTGTACAACCTTCTGTACTGTGCAGCCTCGGGGCCTTACCAGCCCATTGAGAACTAGTGATATTTGCCTTGGGGCCTTACCAGCCCATTGAGAGCTAGATGATATTTGCCTCTGTGCATGTAACTTTACAGAAGTTAAAGTATAGACACTTTAAGTAACTGTCCGAATTTAATGTAAGAGCCCTAAAAGGAAAAAAAATTCAGTTTCCAATTGATTTTATTTGTTCATCCGTACAACTCTGTAGTCATAAACGGCACCAGATTTTTCAAAAGGGGGACAGATTGAATGTGTGAACATAGAGCTGAAAATTGCTGCTATAGGCACTCCGGACGAGTCGTCTCCTGGGGATAGATGAGGACATTCTCCCCAGTCTTCTTAGGCTGAGGTGTTTCCCAGCGTGTCTGGATTCCAGAGCCTTTTAGACAGAAGACCCTGTTTCTGATCCAGTGTTTCCTCACTGTCTAAGGTCTGCAGTGCAGACAAGGCAGAGCACCTGCTAGAAAGAACCCAAGATACGCATGCATGCTTCTTCCAGATTGTCCCAGATGAGCCACATGGAAAGTGAAGGCTACAAGAGAAAGGGTCTAATGTATGGCTTTGCCTTTGCTGACACTTTTCTGCCGTTATGGTAAATTCCTTCCTTTTTTTTTTTTTTTTAGATGAGTATAGAATCAAACCCGTGGAAGAGGTCAAATACATGAAAAATGGGGCAGAAGAGGAACAGAAAATCGCAGCCAGGAACCAAGAAAACCTGGTAAGAACTGAAGTTCTCTGTTAACAATGACTTGTGGGGACTGTTGGAAGAAAACCTGCATTGCACATTGAGCTGAGGCTCACACCCCGGGACAAGATTTCTGGAAAACGCTGTAGCTATTCTTAGCTTACCTGGAAGCTGCGCCATTACCCTGTATCCTGTTTGTCTCAGAATAGGTCCCTTTTTAATCCTGATAAGAAAGGCTCCAGGGAAAACACAGCAGAATTTTCTAAAAGTCAAGTTGGAGGGAGTTAAAAAAAAAGCCTGATGTAGGATTGAGATGTACTGGAGGAGGACCCCCCCCCCCAACTTCCCCCCACCGACACATATTCAGGTCAGGATGAATAGTAGTGTTTCATTATTCGAAACGTGTAATGAGGAGGCTGCCTTTCAAAGGAAAACCTCATACTTCTAAAATAGGTCTCCATCCAGAGAGCCTGTTCTTCACGTTCGTGGTTTTAAAGGTATCGCACATTTGAGTTAATATGAGAATCGTAATAATATGATGTTAAAGAGCTTCTTGCTCTGTTACAAATTACTGTACACATTCTTCCCTGGCAACCCACCGCTATGAAATATTTAGGCAGTTATCATCTTAATTGATTTTTAAGAGGTTAAAATAGTTAAGAATGTACATTTATTCAGTTGCCTTGGTACCAAATGGGCTTTGTTCATATTTTGCATATATTTTATATTTAGATTATTTGCCTCTATGATTGAGCGAATGTATTTTTTAGAATTTTGTGTAACGTTAAGTATTTTTGCTTCACTGACATTTTTTTCTAATACATATTTTGTCCTTTGGTGACTTCCGCTGCAGCAACAGGGACTGACGTGGTACGAGCCACTACCCCACTACCCGTGGCTGTCGTTTCCATCAGACTCCAGGGGGTGTTTAGAGGCTTTGTTTGTTTCCTTCATTCTCTTCTAAACATGTGAACAACAGCCCTAAATAGTAAAATGTCAGCAAGTGAATATTTGACATCTTAAGTAGTGAAAATAAAGGACTGTCCGTGGAAGGACACTTGCCTGGGACAGCCTGGCCTTGGTTTCCCCTGTGTGGTGTGCTGGTCTCTTGGGATCCTGAGGAAGCCAGAGACAGAGTTGCCCTCACTGCTCATCCTGCTGAGGCCAGAACCCTCCCCACCCCACTCCCACCACCAAATCGTTGCAATCTGTTGACTCTTCTGATGTGTTCCTCGTCAACTCATCAGAATTGGCAGTAGTGAGTGACCTGTGCAGACCAGACACACCTTTGAAGAGAGAGAGACTTCTGGTCAGTCTGGCTGATGGGTGTGGCATGTATGCCAACCCCTACTCCTGTATTTGACCAGATGCTCAGGGTCCATACTGCCAATGACAGTTTTCCAGTGTGTAGACATTTGCATGGGAATGGGGAGGAGATAGATGCCTTTGATTCTGAAATGAGCAGGCTGCTTTCCAAAGTGAAAAGTGATTTTCAGTTATCTGTCAGTATGTTATGGCTGTTAGTTTATAAGTCAGTGTCTAATCTTAGTGGTGCATGCTACCCAGTAGTTGCTCAATAAATGCTTTCGCTCTCCAGTCTTGAGCCTTTTGGCCACAGTTTCCATGGCTGAGGAGTCGTGTCCATGCGTCACTGATGTCCTCTAAATTCACAGACAGAAATATATTCTGGTTTCTGTCATTCTTTTGCGTCTACATATTCCACTCTGCTTCTCATTATTTAAGGTCTTTGTAAAGGGAACCTTTCTTAATGAAGGCAAAGATAACAGAATCTGTAAAGAGAGAACTTTCTTTCCTGACAGCAAAGTCAGGTACTTTTGTGAAACAGAACAGCTGCAAGACATAGATGGGTAATAGAGACGTAAGAGCCTGGGAGAAAACATCTGTGATAATGAACAGTGAGGCTCACATCTGAGATACATAAAATAGACCTCTAGATAAGAAAGAAAGGGGTGATCTGTTAGAAAAATAGAGAAATGAATAGACCAAGCAGTTCATTGTAAGCTATCTAAGGCCGTCGGCATACAAAAAGTTGTACTCCATCACTCGGGCTGTGCGCATTCTCTCGGAGACACCAGTTCTCTCTCTGTCTCTGAAGAATGCTGTCCTCCACTCCCGCCACGGCATGCTTGCCTGGGTTTCTGGTGGGCTGCTCTCTAAAAACACTTGTGCTTTTTGTTCATCTGATTTTGTATTTTCCCAGAGCCAGAGGTGTGCCGGTTCTCAAACCGGTTTGTGCTGGTCGAATGTCATTGTAATTATGTAATTTAGTTAAATAATATGCAAGCCAGTGAAACACCCGGCGTGGAGAGAGCTGTTACAGTGAAATTTAAATGGAGTGCTTTGAAACGTCTTGATGAAGGCAGGTTATTAAAAGCTTGCTGTTTAATTGAATTCTGCATTCAGACTCCTTTACAAGGTCTTTACTTTCTCGCTTCACTTAAGAAACCAAGCAGGAGTCACAGCTGTCTTTGAGGACATGGTCAGTGAAGGAGGTGCAGAGGTAGTCCTCTCTCGCTGATCCTCACAGAAAGGAGAAGCCATGTTCTTGTGACAAAGGATGGTAATCTTGATATTTTAAAATAAAATATGTTTAGTGTACATACACATTTTATATGCCCCTACTTTGATTTAATGACTTTAATTGCCAGTTGGAATGGTGTCACCTAATACGACTTAACTGTAATTAGGAAAATACAAATTAAAAGGTGGTCCCATTTTTTTTCACTCATTAGATTGGGGAAAAGTTGAAGTTGGATAATAGACTTTGGCAGGGTTGTAGGAAAATATGTGTTCGCATACCAATAGTAAACTCCTCTCTCCGAGGACAGCGTCGTGGTTGGTGTCTGTGAACGTCGAAGCATGCATATCCATGGCTCAGCACTTCCACGGCTGGTATCCAGTGAGCAGTTGCCTGAGTGCATGTGGAAGCTTGCACAAGACATTCACCACTAGTGCTGTTTATATTGGTTTAAAAAAAAAATTGAACGAAAAATTATCTTCCTGTCAGTAAGAGACCAGTAGTTACATCCCACTAAGCAACAATTAAAAAGAATGAGTTGGAACTGTTATGGGAGAAACCATGCCAATTTCAGCCCTGATATATGTACTGTGATGCCATTTAAGATATTTTTAAAATGAACCCAAAACAAGAAAGCCCTGTGTTTTCCCACAAATATCCATGTATATGCAAAAACTTAGAGATATTTCAGAAAGCTGTGATAGATGTGTTCCAGACTAGCAGCACACAAAGTTCAGCTAACTGATTGGCAAAATGGGCATGATCGTGGCACTCACTTTAGTGAGAAGTTGTGCCAATTACATAAGATTAGCACAGTTCCTGGCAAAGACCATGCCATATTGGCTATTGTTATTTAACTTTTGTTAATGGAGTTGTGTTGCTTAGGAGCAGATGAGAAAGAATTAATTATTTGTTCAAGGGAGATTTTTAGTATTTAAACTTTGATTGAAAATGCATTTATTCTAAGGGGGTAAAATAACAAGTTCCTAGTTTTGACTACTTCAGAATCTTAAGTAGGATCATGACATTTTCTTGTTGTCTTGGGTAGATAGAGTCCGTGTGAGGGAGGGCTGGAAGTCAGCCAGAGGGAAACACGAGAATCATCAAGTCTTATGCTATGGAGGTTCATAATTTTGCACGTAAATAATTTAAACGGGTATTACTCTAGACTTGGCAGTATCCAGACCTTCCCTCTGCTAGTGTCTTAACAAAGAACATTCCATGTGTAGTTTGGAAGCCCTCCTCACTGTTTAATAAAACATTGTCTGGTTTGCTTTAGTTAACACTTACTATTCTGAGGACATCCTCCCCCAAGAGATGTGAAATCATTTCATGCCAATTTGTTTACTTTGTTTGTTTAGGGTATGTGCTTCCTAGATTTACATGTGTTGCATTTATTTTTATTCACTCTATGAAGATATCTTGGTATAAATGAGAAGATCCTTTTCTCTCAAATGATACACAACACGAGTTTTTGATTTCTGTCTTGTCCTTGGCATTGAAGGATGATTTAAAACACCTCTCTATGGTGCTAGAGAGAGGACTCGGTGCTTGGTTAAGAGAGTTTACTCTTGGGTTTACTTAGGGTCCTCTCCAGCAACAGTGTCAGGTAGCTCACAACCAGCTGTTAACTACAGCTCCAAAGAACTCCACGCCCTCTTCTGGCTGCCTCAGGAAAGTGCACTCATGTGCACATACCCACACACAGACATGTATCTGTGCACATAATTAAAGATAAAAAAGCAAATTTATAAAAAAAAACCAAAAACAAAAACACCCGTATCTAAATCACTAGTTCCTAAGCACAGCCAAGGAACAGAATTTTTTAAATGAAATGTTCTGATGTGCTTCATCAGGGAAATGGAAGTGGAATTTAGTTTTATGAGTGACCCCACACACACACACACATACACCCCTCTTAAGTCTGTGAGTTTCCAAGCATATCCCCAGTGCACTAAATTTCCCAACAATATCAGGGCATTGGATTGCAGAGAAGGCTTGACATTAGGAAATACCTGTGATGAGACACAGTGTACAGAGTACTAGAAGTACGTGAAAGTGTTAGGAGCGGTGACATCATCCAGCTGCTAAGTAAGGAAGTGCCCCTAGCAAGAGGGCTCCTTTTCTGCAAAGAATGGAAGTGAGGAACAGCTGGGAACATGAACCAGAGAATGTCTGTGATTCCACTGAGTGATTTAGGTCAACAGGAAAGTCAAGTGCTCCAGACCAGTTACCAAATCACTCTAATTATCAGTATCTACTTTGTAAGAAATAAAGGGCCTCTGAATGAAGGTTGTAAACTTTCTGGTGCTAACACAATGTTTGTTCTAATCAGATAAGCACCCCCATAGAGATGGTCTCATAATCGGCAATGCAGAAGTCCACGGGGACCGCATTGGTTTAACTTGTAGTACCAATGTGACTTTCAGAGCAGCTAATACAATAGCAAACTGACTTTTCTGCTTAAAGTTTGGCCTGCTGATCTTAGAGATGA